CAGATAAACCAGCCAAGAAATTTATCTAAAAACTGCTCAAGAATGACCAGAATGCTAATGAATTACAGGACAAGGTGGAGCTTAAACTGAACATTAAATCAATGGTAATAAGCAATATTGACGTGGAAGATGGTTTAGTTAATGGAGCATGTGAAATTTTGAAATTCATTACGTTCAAAGAAAATACAAAAATTCCATCTATTTTATGGTTGGATTTTCAACTCCCAAGAGTTGGTGTGAAAGTTAGAACACGTTTTCATGACCATATAAAAAATCAAAATATTCATGCGAGTTTAACACCAATAGAAAGAGTCTCCATTCGTGTCGATATGGCAGATAGCCACAACTATCAAATTGTAAGAAATCCATTCCCAGTCATTCCTGCTGAAGCGATAACAATCCATAAAAGCCAAGGACAAACGTACACTGAAGTATGCTTAGATTTTACTAAGAAAGAGAGAAGATCTACCCAATTGTTGTATGTTGCGCTAACTAGAGTCACGAAATTGAGTGGTCTATATATTTTAGGGAAATTTCACGCACCTGGAACAGAAAAGTTGTCTATGAAAACGACGACATCGGCTTTGATTGAACTGACTCGGTTATCCGACAGTTGAAATTATCATTCAATAACTTGATCCACGGAGATGCTTTGAAAATTGTATATCAAAAGGTTGGCACTCTGAAGAATAAATTGATTCATATAACTGAAGATCAATGGTACCATCGAGGTGATGTACTGGTTTTCAGTGAAACATTAACGAATCGTATTGATAAAGTAGACATCGAAAATTATAGAATTATTGTTCGATCTAATCCCGATAAGACTGGCCGCGGATTGATTTATTATGTTGGGACCAGCTAAAAGCCGAGAATATGATCGATGCATGTGAGCTTACATCAACAGCTAGTGTTCAATTATTCGTTCTCAAGATATCGGAATGTTTTGTGATTTCTGGCTACAAATCCCCGAAAACTACGAGAGCAATGTTCGAGAAAACTTTCGAAAGAGTGATGACCCCATTCCTCATGAGAATAAGAAAATCCTTATGGGAGACTATAATTACGATGTTTCCCGTATCGATGAGAACTCGAAGATATATTTGGTGGATTACTGTGGTGGTTAAACTGTCGAAAAACAGTATAACGACAAATTTAAACACAGATTGACGTCCTTTTCTCAAATTTCGAGGGTGTTGATGCTGGGGTTTATGAAACATATTTTAGTTATCATAAACCAATCTATGCCGTCCTCCAGAAAAAGGAGTATATCGAAGCAGATCGAATGATGAACGTTGATAATGGTGAAAATGATACAAAGATTATCAAAGCAGATGTAGGAAGTGATCAAATAATAAATGTTAATGGTAAAGATGAAATAATTAATGTTGATGACGAAAGTGATACAATGAGCACTATTGACATTGATGGGAACAGTGACCGTCGTGATCATACACATGGTCCCCATGGTAGAATTCGTCTGAATGATGATTACAACTACGCTATATCTGTGCAACTGTGTAAAGAAGCATTGAAAGTCAATTACCATTTGAAATGTGACCACATCAATTTATTCCACGAAATACTGAATAGATCATCGAGTGAACAAGGATTATTCAATCTTGCTCAAGACACTGGCTACGTAATGTATTTCCTACGTAATCTGCAACCAATTTCGGAATGTGTGAATAATATCCAGATCGTTTACAGTGGTAAAGTGGGGGCCAAGAAAGGTGAAGAAACGTCAGTGGGACACTGGATCTGCACGAAATATGATGGGAATCATAATGTTCACATCTATGATAGCTTGCATTCCAGGACATTACAAAATGATCAAGTTGCATTTTTGAATGCCCTATATCCATTCCAAATAATTATATTCATCATAGAGTTCAGCAACAGATGGATTTCATTACTTGTGGAATATTCGCAATATATTTCGCGACCCTACTGTATTATGGTGAGGACCCAAGTAGACAGGCATATTACGATACACGCTTAATGCGAAATCATATCGTAGCAATGTTATTGAATCAAAAAATATTACGTTTTCCGGCGGAAGGTTCTCGACTTCATTGATTGATCTAACAGAAGGAAGGACAAAAATGTCAATGAATGAAAAGCTGAAATTCCAATCACAAGAAGAGTTAATTCTCCCCATGATAATCGTGGCATCCCCGAAGTTGAAAATAATTACTTGAATGCAAAAGAAACTTCTCGAATTTGCACCACAATATACGAATATATCGTTGTTACAGAAGCCATTTCATATTCCCAAAAATCGTTTTGAAAATCTCCCTGGAAATTGAAAGGAAAGAGAGAGAAGATCTCCCTTTTGTTGAGGGTATTCCTCCTCTTGTTAATAAGATTTCCATATTCCCGTCCAGGTTTATTTGAGTCATACCGAATAATTTCAGATTTTTATTAAATTTGCCTGCGCTATTGAGAAATGAATTTTCCTGCTCTATTGAGAATTGATAAAATTCTAGGTTGAAAAAAAATTTTGATATAATTAACTTCACGACCCGAAGGGTCATTAAAAAGTTATTATAATGACCCCGAAAATCGAAAGTGGAAATTTAATGATATCTCCACGTTTTATGATCTTTCGAAACATTCTGTGACGTTTTTGAACAAATGTCTGTGTGTGTGTGTGTGTGTGCGAATGTATGTGCCAAAAATTTTGGGACACGATTTCTCTTGAACGAACGGTGCAATTTGATTTTTTTCTTCAATCGACGCATCTCCATGTAACTTAGAACTGAATAGATTATGAAGACGATCGCCTCAGCGGTTCTTAAGTTATTCGCAAAAAACATGTGAAAAAACGTCAAAAATTATGTTTTTTTTAATAATTCCACTATTTCTCCTAGAGTACTGATGTGATTTGAATTTTTTTGGATGCAATCAATATGTCTCTGTGTAGAGTCAATCTTGTTGAATTGAAAAAAAAAACGTCTCAGCGGTTGTCTAGTTATCAAGATGGAAATTTCAAACTTTGCGTTTTTTGTTCTAATGAACAGACAAATGAGAATCGGTCGGGAAGTTATTGGTTCGACCCGTAATGGGTCACACCCACTCCAACCCACCCACTTCAATCCACCCACTTCAACCCTCCCACAATGGGAGCGAGCGCAGCGAGCGACCAAAAACCCAGTCGAATTACAACCCACCCGTAATGGGAGCGAGCGAAGCGAGCGACCAACAACCCAGACCAATTTTTCACATTGTAATAAGCACGTTTTTCCATACCCGTAGCGGTGAACTTGAAAATCACTCTATCGGTTCTGTGTGTGACACGATTTTGTATTCGAGTGAATAATTCTCGGAACGCTCTTTCCATCCATTCTACAGGAGAGATATCATCAGGCACAGGATTAACCCTAAACTCATCAGTGTATGAATCCACTCAAAAAAAATTATTTCTAGTATATGTCTTACGAACAAAAGTTAATGGGTCGACACCACCACCAATCTGCACTTATCCTGATGTTGAAGGATGATTCACGAAACACAAGGGTTCATTATGTGTTAAAGAATTATTCAACTCTCGCTCTACAAAATTCCCAGGGAGTATCACCAAATCCTCATGACCACGTGTGGATATTTGTTGTAAAATAGGATCCAGAATTTCATCACCAATTTGCACTTGTCCAGATATCGAAGGATGATTCACGAAGCGCGAGGGTTCATTATAGGCTGAATGATTATTCAACTCTTGCTCCACAATATTCCCAGGGATTGTCACCAAGTCCTCATGACCCCGTGCAAATATTTGATGCAAAAAAGGGTTCAGGATTTCATCACTCAGATTATTAAAAACTTTATCACTTGTATCATTAAAATCTTCATCACCTGAATTATCAAGAACAGTTTCCGCCGGAGGAAACATTTGTTCGAACGCGTTTGTGATGAGTTCATCGAGAAATTCATCGTTATTCACGTGTCCACCCTCCATGATCACTCGGATAACTATGATCTCGTAAAGAAAAGAAATGAACCACAAACCCCCAGAGCCTCTATTTTACAGACCAATAGGGAGATGATTACATATAGAGGAAAAACAATTGGAAAAACCGTCTAAAACAATGTTAGGATGAAGGTCGTGTGATACAAGAAGGTAGTCAGCGGAAGAATAACGTAAATTTACGGCATGTATCGAAACGAAGGATTGGGATAAGGGCTCGTAAGGAATGGCGTACACGAATTGGCGGCTTATCTCGAACGAGGCTGTTTACACTTGAAAAACAATAAATATGGAGCAAAATCTATATCTCGAGACTCAGACGGAAAATATTTCTGAAAGGTTTTCTTCTTGTGGAATAGAAATTGAAAAGAGAATACATCCTGTGAATAACGAAGCTTAATTGTGATTGTTGAAAATCGAAAATTTTGAACTCAAAGAAGAAATTTACATTTGAAAAAGTGTTGATCAAAATTATTTGAACATTAAAACTCTCAGCAAAAATTGTCATTCAAAAAAAAAATTTTGATTTGAAAAAGAGATGATCAAAATGATTTGAATATTAAAACTCTCGGCGCAAAATTGAAATAGAAATCTTTTAAGTTGAAGAAACTCGATTGAAAAAATAGAATTTTTGTTGTTGTTCAAAAACTCATTATGAAGAATTTTTACATGTGATAGGGATTTTCAAATAAATAAAGCATGGTTCAAACTAAATTTTCATATTTACATTCTCAAGAAAACTAAATCTGACCTACAAATTATTTCCAACTTACAAACTAGGTTCGATTTTTTTCTAAAGAATACAATTTCATTTTCTACATGATTCCTAAAAAATCACATGAAATGACAACTTCTTCTAATTAATAAAATACCTCCGCCGCCTCCAGTTTGATGATCTCCTGTAACAAAAAAGAGAAGGCACGTTGAGAAAAAATTGGCACAAATCGAATAAAATTAGTGAAAAACAGAAAACTTACATCTGTAATTTTAATCTCGATCCTCCCACTCATCACCGGTGTAATTCTTGCCACATTTTCTGCATATTTGCTGATAATAATGCACTTGCATCCCACAGCAAAATAAAGATTGCCCTTCCTAGTGAGGGTCTTCATCCTCCTCATATGATGAGTACTCCCGCTGGTCAATTTCCGCAATATCTTGGAGTGCCTGCTAGCTGAGCTGGGAGAAAACAGGGTGCGATGCACAAGAATATAATCTCTTTAAATTCTCTGTAAAAAGAAAAAAAAACATCGAAGAAAAATCAATTGGAGGGATTTTGGACACGAATCAACATGTCACTTGGAAACAGAGAAAATATATTTACCTTATTCTTATTTTCGGTCCACGCGTTCAGCTTCTGCGTCTAAATCATCTTCGAGATCCTTCACCTCCCGCTCCAATTCAGCGAGCAGTGATCTCTTTGCTCTGGAAGGCCCTGCCTGTGGCGGAGAATTATTCTCATCTTCCGAATCCTCCAGAAGTCGCTTTTTCGCTGCAGCTTCAGCAGCGTCAAGCTTCTCAGCCGAAAGCACAATTATTTCCTGTGCAGGGTCCCCCAGGTGAAACACTTCCTGTTCGACACCAGATGTCCCGATATTTCCATCGCTATCGATAGAAATAACCTCCGATGTTGCGTTGTCTCCACTTTTGGACTCGTAGTCGTCCAACACATCGGTAAACATGATGTCATCACTACTGTCACTGTAAAATCCGTCCAAAGCGTTCTCCAATTCTCCCGTTTCTTCACTTTTGTCAATCACCACTGGTGCAACACTTTTCTTCTCATAATTATTCACCGCTTCAATAAAAATGATGTCCTCCGAGTCATCATCGTAAAATGGATTCACAACACTTTCGTAATCCATTTTTTTCACTAAGGACCCAAAGCACCCCCACCATTCCCATTGTCTTATCTCTCCCTCTCCACCACTCCAGACGTTGGCCATTGAAGCAGACCGTGGCTATTTGACTGGCTGGAAAAAAATGTGTGTGGATTTATAAAGTGTATAACGACACTCTATTCATTTTCTTTCACGTATTGCTGGATCGGCAATAATTAAATCTCTTCCCTTATTTACATGGCCTTATACGGCTAAAGGCCTATAGCATTCGTACGCCTCATTTCCAGTAGGATCCCACCAGTCAGTCAGCATAACTTTGTCTCTCATATCCACGACGAAAAATAGTATTTTACGACAATGTTTGATTATGTTTTCTGCAAACTTGTATTCCATTTGGTCCTCTTTGTCCAATAGTGCATGGGTCAAAAGACATGCTGTCGCGATGCTCGTCAGTGAAGGGGCTTGACGTTTTAAAGACATTTTGGGGAGCACATTTTCAGGATTATTTTTTTTTATATTCCGGCCCTTTCTGCCCTCTGATTGGCTAATCAGCCCTATCCAACCCTATGCATGCGGCTGTGGATTCTACACTCCACCGCATTCGCACTCCTATAGAACATAGGAGTAGCATGGGAAACCACAGAAAACCCATGCCGGTACAGGCGGTCACTATATTAGCGACCTCCCGCTCGGCGGAGCCTCCGGTTGGAAAACTCGGTTCCACGGGGAATCGAACTCACAACCTTTCGCACACTAGGCTCGCACCTAGCCGCTTCGGCCATCGACGTCGGTACATTTTCAGGATTTTCAGCAGTATAGACATGATGAACGAATTCAATAGTAGATCTATCACGGTTACCTTCTCGATCAGGACCTATGTACGGATGCCTCTGTTTATGTGTATGCACCCCACGTGCTCTGTCCTTACACTCTTTATTTTGCTGACAGTGTATAGTTTCAACTACACGTACTTTCAATTCGTCCTTTAGTGGGTAATAAGAACAATGATACAGAAATTGGAGTAGATCCATCTCGCTTTTCAGACTGAGTAACACTTTTTTTTTTCAAGGCACATCTGAGTTCACGTTTTCGAGATTCAGGCGTGGGGGTGAAAAAGTAGAGGATCACTAATTGTGTTCACATATTATTTTAGAATCGATTACAAAATTAGCTATTTCTCGGGCTGGGAGAAAAATGTGTCGGTTCAAACAGCATGTTTTTGGGATTATCGGGATATAATATATCTACCTTTATAAAAAATTTCCCCGAGTTTTTATGACCGTACGGAAAAATGAACAATCCGTAAGTGTTCATTTCATCATCAACATGATCACCTGTCTGTATCAAAACTTCTTTGCATCGTAGAACAATTGCAAAAAACATGATATCATGGCATTGTTCAATAATATTCACTGCTATGTCAATTTCTCCTAGGTCCTCCGTATTCATTTTTTCATAGTTCAATAAAGATGCTGCGGCAATGCTCACGAGTGCCGGAGGTTGACGTTGTAAATATTCTTTATCCCAGGGGGGGACAGTTTTGGGTGCACAAATCACATGTGGAAATAAAAGAGTAATTATCTTTTGGCCATTCTCACTATCGAGTCTAAGTAGCCAGGTATCTCTTTCGTGTAAATGTGGAGCGCCCTTCACCGTATCGAGACATGCTCGATATCTACTTTGAATGAGACACTCTCTTAACCGTATTTCCGGAATATTTAGGTGACGAGAAAGGTACTATAAAAGTTGTTGGAGATCCATTTCGTTTTTTCCAACTAAGCGACTATTTTTTTTTCGTCTACAGGTGGACTTCCTTGTCTGTGTCGCAGTGGTGAGGGTAGTCATTACGATACATTGGCCATCTTGTTAACCCTTTGAGTATTCATTTGATATATAATTCTCGAATAACGATACATTACTCATTCAGTTGCGGGGAGTGGTAGAGATCACATCTCGGAAATATTTTTCCGGTCTCATTTTTTTGTGAGTTGGAGCAAAGTAAACAAACATTGAAATGGCGTTGTATCTATTCATGACGTTCTTGATGACACTGACAGTCTCCCCTAGAAGTTTTCAGATTGTTAATTTTACGAAAACTGTCATTGACTCGAAAGTAGGGTTGTATTATGAACCAATGCATCAAATTCATTTCTCCAAAGATGAATAGCGATTAGTGACATACATTGATATGAATTACTTCCAATCTCAAAAACCTTTCTTGTCACCGAATGCAGTAAAATCTCATGAAACGATATGTTGGGAGTATGAAACACGTGATCATTGTGCATCGATTCTTGATACGAGTTACATAAAATCGAAGTACGAAGTTGCGGACAAATATCTGAAACATATTGAATCGCTCATGGAGATCCAACCTGAATCAGCTGATGATGATACAACCACTGTGAAACGAAGCGTACCTCTGGTTTTTATCGGAGGTATAAGCCGTGCGCTCTTTGGCACTCTCAATGAGGAAGATGCAGATTATTACAATAAAGAAATTGATAAATTGTACGAGACTCAGAAAAGTATGACCACTTTGGTTGCTAATCAAACACATATAGTGAAATCAGAGTTTCATCGTATTCATGATGAAATCGATACTATTAAAAACCGTTCAACTCGTCATAATATTTTATTAGACAGAATCGTACTTAAAGTGAATAAACTTCAAAATACTGAGAATCAAATTACATATATTAATCATCTGGAGCAATGGATGCACCATAAAGAAATGGAAATTGATACCTATGTCGATAATTTACAGACAGTGATTCACTCTGTGTATTTTGCAAAACTCGGATTCATACACATCGGACTCATAACACCTCGAATCCTGGAAGATGCTATGAATAAGTTTTTGAGTCATAATGATAATAAAGAATATACATTTCCTCTTTCTATGGAAGAAGTGCGTGCAGGAGAATTGGAGAAAATTTCCAAGACGTCCATTCGGTATCATGGTGGAAAACTGTTACTATTGCTACATGTAACTCTTTTGGACCCACAAGTTCATTATTTATATAAGATGCATCCATTCCCAATGCTTCGAATATTTGGAGACAACAAAAAAGTTCGGCGTATATCCAGCCACGGACAGATTACTTAGTCGTTTCACATGAACAAACCATTTATACTCTCATTCATGACAATGATCTCCCTTACTGTTCTGAGACACGTAATTATCATATATGCGCACCTAGTTATCCTTTCTACAAATCATCTATGTATCCTATTTGTGAAATATCCTTGACAACTGGTGATAAACATGACCCGTTTGAAGATTGTGACATCAGAATTAGCAATACATTCAATCCATACTGAAAGCAATTGCATAATATGAGGGCCAGGCTTTATTCTCTGCCTGAAGAAGAAAAAGTTCAAATAATTTGTGGTGACTCTTCAAAGGAATCAGTGACAATCTCTGGATCGGAAATTTTACGTGTAAAATATGGCTGCCATGCACACACATCCTACGCATCATTTATGGGCTACCAAGTTATCGCAGCAGTAACTGCATATCAATATAATCCTTCAGCTCGTTTGAATATTTCGGACATACTCCCACAAATTTCAGGGTATTAACCCTTTCGGACACCTTATAATCAAACCGATATACCACGAGTGCAAATATAATAATAATAGGAGCCTGATCGTATGATGCGACTCTCGACGAGATTCAAAAATATCTAAAGTATATTGGCGAACAAAAGCGTGAGAAACAAAGGCAAGAGAAAATGTGGTATTGGACAATTTTCGGAGAGATTATATTAGCCGCCAGTTTCCTTGGCTATCTGTTCCGTACCCCTGTTGTATGGGTATTCTGGAAAGTGGTGTATATCTGTGTCTGCTCCAACAAAAAAGATGCAATAAATAGGTATTCAGAGAAAATATCATCTGAAAAACATGATGACGGCCCAATTTATGTCAGCCCCTCGAATCGCGTCGTATTTTAATGTTCCTCCCTACCATTGAGCTACATATGTTTCCCTCTCCTACTCTTACTCCTTCATACGTATAAAAGGGTTGAGGAGCTGTGCGGGAGATTCAGTTTTTCACCTACCATGAAATAGCCATGTGTTTTGCAGTGATTTTGCATTGAATAATTCAATGACGAAAAGGCTTAGTATCGGCATAGACCTGAGAGAAAATTCATCCATTGCGCCATCCATGCAACTCTACGGCCATGATTCACGCAGGAGAATCACTGTGTCATTTGATACATGGGAAAAACTGACAAACAACTCGGAGCATATTTTACTCGACTACTTTGATTTCCAAACCCCTGAACATTGAGGCTTCAGTATCATCGAATGTGGTGGTACTCAATGTGGAGTCGTGCTCAACGGTCTGTAATATTCACTCAGAATGAATGCAAATTGGTCATGCATGCTGTGACCGTAAAAAATATTTGGAAAAAAGTGTCGTCGGTTAACGAATGGTTAGATCTTCTTCTCGGTCTACGTCTTCGAGATTATCTCAACTTCCTCATCGACGTGGCGGCCGACTTTGTCAGGACGGATCACATGAAAACATCGTACGAGGCGTGTGTACCCGACGAAGACGAAATTGGAAATTATCTGTTGAAAAATTATTGTGATTTGTGTTACGCATATAATAAAATTGTACGTCGCAGTTTTCTAACGTATCCTTTTACATCTTTTTTTGTTGGAGAACTTTTTAATTTCTAGGCCCACATTGTATTACCTCGTGTAATCGAAAAGATTAAAGAGTCTCTCAGGTTGGAAACTTTGAGATTGAATCCGAAAGATTATTATTACAATTGAAAAAATGTATCTGAAATGAAAAAAAAATGAATAAATTTTTTATACTCACTTTGAAATATTCTTTATTTCTTTGAACCCTTTCCCCTACTCCTTAACCTGAGAAAAAAAACCTGAAAAAACGTAATCGCAAATGGGGGTGCATCATTTATTCTCTAACTGTTCAGTGGGTAACATGGAGCTCGCTATAACTGATTTGTACTTCTCAACATGTATCATAAATTTAATTAGTTTTATTTTTAAATGAATTATTTCTTC